AATTCCTAAAAGTTATAATTATTACATTATTATCATTATTCAAATTCATATTTACAGTATTTAAATTGCATGATTTAGATCATCAATGTTGCACATTAGTCATTTATTGTAATATTGATATAAAAATATAAATTAGACTTACTCAAAAATACCTCATAATTATACGTACAAAAGTGAATTACTGCTTATTATGTATAATAATTAAACATGATAGGCACTGTTATTATTATTCAGTATAAATTCAATTATTTAAACTGTACAATTATAACAATTAAAAATTATAATTATATAAATTTAATTAAAGTGAGTGATACACAAGCCATTTATCTATTGACCTTTAAGTATATATGAATTGAATTTCGTATAAAAAAAAAACTTCTAAAACGTAGTTAATGTTAATGCATAGCAGCCCTAGGGAGTGACGTCATTTTATTTATGAGAAAACACAATTTTGATGTTGAAAGTACATGATTTAGATCATCAATGTTGCACATTAGTCATTAATTGTAATATTGATATAAAAATATAAATTAGACTTACTCAAAAATACCTCATAATTATATGTACAAAAGTGAATTACTGCTTATTATGTATAATAATTAAACATGATAGGCACTATTATTATACAGTATAAATATTACAATTATTTAAACTGTACAATTATAACAATTAAAAATTAAAATTATATAAATTTAATTAAAGTGTGTGATACACATCCCATTTATCCATTGACCTTCAAGTATAATTATATGAATTGAATTTCGTATAAAATAAACTTCTAAAAAGTAGTTAATGTTAATGCCTAGCAGCGTTAGGGAGTGACGTCATTTTATTCATGAGAAAACACAATTTTGATGTTACAGGATTTGTACCCAGGACCCTGGGGATGTTAAAACAAACATTTTATCGACCAGGATAAAAACTCACTCCATTTGAAAGTCTATACAACTAGGCCTATACTGTGATGACGACATTATTACATGCGTATTGCAATCATTTATGTTACAATACTAACATTGTAATCCATGTACTATTTTGCGTGTGTGTGTGTGAAGTGGTGGGGGGGGGGGGACTTGGTGTACCAGCTGTATGTACTGACGTAATCAGGTAAGTACTGTATGTTAGACTGGCTATCCATGCATTATGTAATGTCTTACATGCTTTTATTTCTCTGGAATCTGCGCCTGACTTCATTTGGTAGTCTGTCAGATTTCGCAAGCCTTGATCAAACTTCCTGCATTGTGACTGTGACAAAATGATTGTTTCAGATACTGTACTGATAAATACGAATTAGATTTGCAGGCTTAATGACGACTAACATATCTGGTGTTACCCAGAAGTCTTTTGAGTAAGAACTACAGTAGTGCCGAATCAACTTCATCATCAATGTAATGACAAATGTATTGATATAAGTTAATGCTTTTATTTCTCTGTATCTGCGCCTGACTTCATTTGGTAGTCAGTCAGATTACGCCAGCCTTGATCAAACTTCCTGCATTGTGACTGTGACAAAATGATTGTTTCAGATACTGTACTGATAAATACGAATTAGATTTGCAGGCTTAATGACGACTGACATATCTGGTGTTACCCAGAAGTCTTTTGAGTAAGAACTACAGTAGTGCCGAATCAACTTCATCATCAATGTAATGACAAATGTATTGATATAAGTTTTCTGCTTAAAGATTTTATTTCTTTTCACTTCAATCAAGAATGTACCAACATAGGAATCTTTTAGTTTGGCTTGGCTTAACGAAAAACATCATCAGCTGAGTTCCGACATCACAAGGAAGTTATTTACGCTGTGAAAAACAAATCCAATTGTATTTTTAAATAATTATGATTATTTTGCTAAACATGCTTAATAAAATCTAATTTTAATTTTTTATCATCTTCAGTACCTAATTTTTCGGAGTTTATTTCATACTATCTTATGTCAAAATTATCGGTGAACCTCATGGTTATACTTTTTATACTTGCTGAATTTACTGCAGCTTTGTTTAATCTTAGTGCATTTGTCTCTATACCTGCACAACTTAAATAAATTAATGAATAGAATAAATAAATACCTTCTGTTAATTCGTTTAATGCCAAACTGAGGTTAAGGATTTTCAGCGAATCAGTGAATTTCTTCATATTTTTTTCGCTGAGTATCTGTTGGTCTTCTAGATCGTTGATCATACTCCATCCGTCTGTATACTTCTTAGGAGGCGTATTATACAATTGATCGATCTGCGTCACATTATCTGGGGTCAGTACCATTCCAAATTTGATTAGCCTTTGTCTGTGAGATGTGAATGTTTTTGAAATGGTTCCTTCCTCAACATCTGGGAATGATGGCAGTTTTTGTTTAATCTTCGATAAAAGACCAAACTCTTTGGTTATGCTAATAGTATCGCACAGGAGTCCAAGATTCTGTGAACTCAGATGACCACGTTTAAATAGTATATACAGCAGGTCCATCGTGTGAGTTGCTGGTGATAGCTCGCAATTGTCTATCTTGTCTCTGAACAGCACTTTCAGCAAAGGAACACTTTCGTTGCTGTCATACCATTGTGAGACAATAGTTTTTAGCTCTTGGAACTCCTTATCTGACAATGCTATGAAATAATTATAAATTCAATATTTATATCATTTTCCATTTGCATTTTTTAAATTTATATTTTTCATAAATATATATTTCAATATTAAATTTAATATTTTCACAGTTGCCGGGAGTAAATTGTTTGTTATTATATTATTAATTATTACAAGCATCCCTACAAATCATACAGTAAATAATTATAATAATATAATTCTAATTTAAAAAAATTGTGAAGTTTACAATTCTCTTCCATACAATTTATTAAGTCCTTCGCCTGCATATAAGACATTAGGCACTAGAAAAGTAACAGAATTATTTGACCAGGCTGTGGAATTAGGATTTTGCCCACATACAAGACATTAGGTACCAGAAATGTAACAGAATTATTTGACCAGGCTGTGGAATTAGGATTTTTGCCTGCATATAAGACATTAGGTACTAGAAATGTAACATAATTATTTGACCAGGCTGTGGAATTAGGATTTTGCCCGCAAGACATTAGGTACTAGAAAAGTAACAGAATTATTTGACCTGGCTGTGGAATTAGGATTTTTGCCTGCATATAAGACATTAGGCACTAGAAATGTAACAGAATTATTTGACCAGGCTATGGTATTAGAACGTATAGTGATACTGGGTCCACCACAATCAGTTCAGGTAGTTTTTTATTTTATAATTATCTAAAAACAGTAATTATCTAAACAAAGTTAAGGAAAAAATAATTTGAAAAAATAATATGAACCAAGAAACATCAAGTGGAACAATGCGATAAGTGCATGAAGATTATTCCTCTTATAAAAGACTATAGAACTACAAGAGGTCCAACTCTCGTGGTTTCGTTGAAACGTAATCCTATTTTTTAAAAGTAGTGCCACGAAGGGGCGTGTCCTTAAAACTTAAAACTTTCGAGCGAACTCTATTTGAAATCTAATAGGGCGCCACCATCACATCGCAGTATGTTCCATTGCGTGCATACAAAATCAGGGAAGTCGGACCTCTTGCTATTCAATACTCTTTGCTCTTATTCATTGTATTTAATGTATGTTTTAGGGGTTCCCCCATACAGTATCTTCAAATTTCCTTTACATGTAATCTAAGTGTTGTATAGAAGTATCTACTGTATTTCAAAATCCGGTCTAGTTTTAAATTCTGACGATAAAGCCGTTTCACTGTCGTTTTTTTCATAGTGCGTTAACTAGTTCAATTACACACATACACAAAATAGTCGTTTCTAATCGGATTCAATTTTTTACAAGCCTCTGTAGAAGTTGGTTCAGTTGGTTAATGTGTCTGCATATAAAGTAGGAAGACATCAAGGTCCACCTGCTTTATACGTTTTACAGAATAAGTGTATCTACCAACCTGTATTCATAGCCGATGATTGATGAGCCGTATACGTAAATGAGGATTTATGTAGAATACCTGTAATTATATAAATAATTATTTGTTTCACATTATAGTTATGTAAAAGTTTTGTTACAATTATTACACATACATTTAAAATCCTTGATAAAAATTGTGTTGCAGACAGTGTACTTAAGTACATTTGCTGTAGTCAATTTTGTGAAGGACAATACAATGCAAAAAATAGCCCCAACAAATAAAATAAAATTTAATCTAATTATAAAATTAACTGAGAAAATTTTCTTTTTTGACAACAGACTAATCTGTAAAATGACAAAATAATTTGGAAATTATTTAATCTTGAATTCTCTAATTGTTTTTACAATCGTTTCTCTACCTAAATTGGAATTTACTCCATTCAAAATTATCTAATCATTTCATGAATTATTATTTCAATAGACTAAACACATACCAGCTGCAAATAGCTTCTGTACATTAGATGCTGGCATCGTTATAAGTTCACCTGTTTT